AAAATAGAGAGAGAGTGAGAGAGAAACAGAGGGAGAGTGAGAGAAACACAGAGAGAGAGAGAACGAGAAAACAGAGAGAGAGGGGAGAAATGGAGCTAAAAGAGAGGGGGGAAGGAGAAGTGGAGCTCGGAGAGAGATGGTGTGGGGGAGAAATGGAGCTGGGAGAGAGAGGGGGTGGTGGAGAAATGGAGCTGGGAGAGAGAGGGTGTGGGGGAGAAATGGAGCCAGGAGAGAGGGGGGTTGGGGGAGAAAGGGAGCTGGGAGAGAGGGTTGGGTGCTGAGTACAGGACAAGAGAGGGAGGGAGAGAGAGTGAGAAGGATGAATGGGGAGTGGGAATTACAGATAGAGAGAGAGACAGAGAGAGAGAAGGAAACAATGACGGAGAAGAGGGATTGAGGGTAGGAGGAAAGTAAGTTGTGAGGGGAAGGGGGGAGTGAGAGAGGGAGAAAGAAACGGAGAGCACACGCAGGGAAAATAATAATCAGTTTAAATCCAACAAATAGCAGAACAAATCCTTTGCAAACTGCTGCTCTCCTGGGGTCTCGCGTGCACGAGAGTCTGGCCTGAGCCAAACCTACTGTTTGCTGAGGCTGAAGGGAACAGAGCCGAGAATTCCAGAAAGTTCTTTGCACACGAACCACACTCGTCCAACCGCAGGAATGAAGTGGAACAGGAATGAGAAGCAGATAGACAGTGTGCGTGTGCGTGTGCGTGAGAGCGAGAGAGCGAGAGAGAGGGTGGATAATATTCTCAGGGTGGGGAGCATTGGCTCCGGTCCAAAGTCCAATGGTGCAGAACAGGAGCGAGGGTCAGGCACGGCTGGAGCTGAAAGTCCGAAGGCTTCTGTTCATTGCGCAGCTCCAACAAACACGCAACTCCAATTGCCCTGGGAACCGAGGAATCTGATCCCATCCCCCTACAATCTCCATTCAAAACGTTGCCTCAGACGATCTGCACTCGGATCGCACTGGGTCTGAAGGAGACCTGGTTGTGTTAGCCTGCTTTCTGCTGGCGAAATCGTCTCCTCTCCAC